ATCTTGAAATAAGTTGTTGTAAATTGGTTCTTTATAATTAAACAAAAGTGAAGTCAACTGGAGCAAGAGTTTAATATTACTATAGTACAGCGCTTTGGCAGATAGTTGGTTAATATTGTTTCTCTGTTGGGGGGGCTGACCTCACAAGATGTTAATAGAAAAATTGTTCTTGTCACCTTTAGTAACTTTTTATATATTTGACTTTTTTCAGAATTTGTAGTTTACTGTTGCAGTATCAGCTGTTTATTTATTTGTAACCTCATTGGGGAGGAATTGGCCTAGAGTGGAGGTCTTTAACAGGGGGTCCACAGAGGTACTGCATGGGGGTAGCAAAAGTTTTGGTTGATTACTTTACACATTAACATGAATTCAACGGACTGTAGTAAACAGATAAATGGAGGCAGAAGATGTCTTTCAGTCATCAATGCACTTTTCTGTCACTCATTTTCTGTCACTCTTATCCCAAGCTGGGTCCTGGTGCCTATCTCCAGCTGTCTAAAAAATCCTCTCCTAGACTGATTTTTATTTGTTCATGTTTTTTTTTAACGGCACCAGTGGCTCATTTTTAGTGAACTGAAAATGTACAATTGCTGAAAAATCTGTAACGACATCTGAAGAGAACAGGCGTTTTAACATGCGTGTGCTATATTTAGTTTTTCAGAATGGTACAATACAGCTGCAGTACTTAGAAGACACAGCAGATGGCAGCATAACAGCTTCTCCATTAATAACCATTGAACAAAAAACTCCTTCATATTTCAACAACATCCATATGACATTAACATGTTAGTATGGTGCAAATCCCTGTTGAATGTTTTTGACACCTTAAAGACAAAAGGGGGTTAAAATCAATACTAGTTGTGTGATCATAAGTTGTGTCTTATGAAGTTGCCCTTTTTCTGGTATTCAAACTCAGATGTATTTATAATTCGAGGAAAGTTTTCAGATTTTTTTCTAAAAAGAAAAATAATAAAGATTTAATTAAATTCAAATTATGTTTTTTTTCTGAATCTCTGCATAGTGATGATTGATCTAGTTCAGGTTTAACCATCAAGTGGTCAAAATTTGTCCTTTGAATTCTTAGGGAAGTCATATTTAAATGTCAAATCATTCTGGCTTAAACATGTATGTAAATGTAGTCTTTATTAGACTATATTGTCCCAAAATGTAGAAAATTTTATTAAAAAAGAGATCCTGTCTTACAATCTGTGGGTTTTTTTGTTATCTTATGCAGGCCAGTTAGTTATACTTCAGCTTGTGCACCTAAATTCGGCCAATCATATATGAACGGTCATCATTCAATCTAATTTTTTCTTTTCATTTATGACCTCTTATACAAAACTCTCCTCCTCTTGCATGTTTCCGCTGTCCACAGGGGGGCCTCTAGAAATGTTTCATAGGGGTGGCCAGATGGGGCCTCTTAAATTCTTGGGGTGGCAGGGCGCCCCCTGGTTTTATTCTACTGCTGTGGTAAAACTGCCAGTGGAAAACTATCATAAGGTGACCCTCAGCCACCCCCTGGTGGCACCCTTGCCTGCCAGTACCTGAAGCCTCAGTCGATCAATGATTTCCCTGATAGAATAGTGACCCAAAACCCATAAAGCTAAACACTCTCAAAAATATCCTAAGAAAATAAAAAAACATTAGAATGTTGTTAAAAGGCCTTCCATTAACCTGGATCTCAATACAGGCAAACATCAATGGAAGAATATGAACAAAAGTGCAGCATGAGGGAATACTACTCTGCAAAGCTAAGACAGTTTATGTTGCTAGAAAAATGCACCAAACCACCTGTGGACTGATGAGCACATCTGATTGAGATATACAGGATCCCTTACTGGCAAACATCCCTGCAGAAGGTGCTGTTAAATTGATATATTAATCAATTTCATTCCATCAATTACATGATAATGTTCAAAGAGTACAGAAAAGCAATGTCTGACTAAAAGAAACAAACAATAAGCAACATTTCTGTTGCTGATTATATATAATTCATCCATATTCACCATATTTACCATAACTAATGCTTTGGGGTTGGGATTTGTTGCTTTTTAGATTTGAAAAAGAGAAAACAAAATAAATAAAAAAAACTGTAAAAATCCTGTTTCCCCTAAAAAGAAAAACATTTCTTTTTAAAAGCTAAGATTTTTTTTAAATCAAGGTTCTCTGTGTGTTCAAATTAGGTACAGTACATTAGGTACAGCTCTTTCTCATGATCCTGTAACTTTACGGTCCACACAGAAATTCTTGCTCACCCATTAAAAACGCAAAATGCTCCCTTTGTTTAACTTTTATTTAGCTATATTGATTTACCTAAAGATTCATCATAGACCTGAACTACAGTATGTTAACCACAAACCTCAGTGTTTTGTTGGATTGTTTGTTTAAGACCAGCACATAGTATTCTATAACACTGAAGTGGAAGGAGAAATATGGCTTAAATATATGGATACATTCTCTGCAGCCATTCCAAATAACGTATGCTTGGTCAGATTGAATAAAAAGCATCTGTGGAAATGGTCAGTCTTGAAATAGATATTCTGTTGGATGTACTGGGATTTGAATGGGCCTTCCAACACTTGAGCTTTGAAAACATTGCAGTGTCGTTCTGGCAGAATATTTAGGGTAATTATGGTCACCTTTCTGCTGGAGCCAGGGCCGGCCTGTGGCTTAGGCAGTATAGGCAAACGCTAAGGGCGCAAACCACCAGGGGGCGCCCTGCCAGTACCTATACCTTAATAATAATAATAATAAAAAAAACAAGCCCAACGTTTACCTGCAACCCAATTTTCGGTCTATGTTGCACCTAAAATCTCACCATGTCAAAGCGTCCTAAACTGTCTGGTGCCCAAGGGAGGAAAAAAAGAAAAGAAGAGGACAAAAAACGTGACAAAGACAGAGGTAATGTTCACTGTATTAACAATAAATTACAGTAATAAGAATTATTACTAATCCAGATTATATTGTATAATATAAACGATAGTGTACATCATGAATGCATCTGTTTTTTGTTTATATTATTTAATTTAATTTGACTTTTTTCTTTAAATCATCTGTTTATTATTAGACATTAGACATTATTATCATTTTGCATTTGCATTTTGCAGCCATATGGTATGACGTTCTCTGCAAAATCCAGCATGTTAGTAAACTGATGCAGTCACCCTCCATGCAGCTCGACGTAGCTGTAGACTTGCTGAGGAAAACCAGAGATTCCCTCACCAGTTACAAAAACACTGGATTTTCTGATGCACAGACAATAAAGGAGATGTGTGAAGACGTGAATGTGGAGGCTGAACTAAAAAAAAAAGCGATTGAGAACCACAAAAACTCACTTTGGCTATGAGTGTCCAGATGAGCCCATTCAAGATGCACTACAAAAAATGGAAGCCACATTTTTTAATGTAGTCATGGATACTGCCATTTCTTCGCTTGATGAGAGATTTCAGAATCTTGGAGAAGTGAATAACATGTTTGGTGTGCTCCTCCATTTCCCTAACTTAGAACAAAAAGATCTGCTACAGAAGTGTTAAACTCTAAGTGCTGCTCTGACCCAGGACAGCCAGCAGGACATTGATGGAGCAGAACTCACAAGGGAAATGCAAAATTTCCCACCATTGACATCAACGAACATGACAAACTTGGAACTTTTAGCCTTCCTGCATGAGAAGAAACTAGCAGAAATGTACCCCAACATGTGGGTTGCTCTAAGAATCTCTGCCACTCTTCCTGTTACGGTGGCTGCAGCTGAAAGAAGCTTCTCCAAGCTTAAACTGATTAAAACTGACCTGAGATCTACTATGATGCAAGAACGTCTCAGTGGACTTTCCATCATAAGCATTAATCATGTGGTCTCAAATCAGCTGTCAAATGATGATGTTGTAGATGACTTTGCTTCAAGAAAATCCAGGAGAGTAAAGATGTAGTCATGTGAGAGTATATCGTTTTTGAAGTAATTCAAGTTAAGGGAGACTAAAAACACCACTAGAACTATCATGTAATTTTTTTTCTTTTATTTAATTGTATTGTATTATTTGTGCCTACTAATTTCTTTGATTTCTTACTTTGCAAAGTGCTATATTTATATTGTATTTAAGTTAATGTCACTTGTTTACACTTTTTTGGGGAGTATTTAAATTTAATACTTTATATAAATTATTTATACGGTATTTCATATGTTATTTTTTTTGTTTCTTTAATTATATTTACGTTTTTTGAATGTGAATATTGTTTTATGTAAATAAAAAAATGTCCAAGACAAAGCTTTTTAGTTTCTTGTGAGTATATTTACACTAGCAGACATGCAAGTACTGCACAGTGATGCAAGGGGGCGCCACCTAAAATCTTGCCTAGGTCACCAAACTGCTCCCAACACTGGCCTCAATCAATGACATGTAGGAGAAACCATGAATGGCTCGCTACAGCATTCGCTGATAGCATCTATTCTTATTATTTTTAAAAGATTGAACTGAGAGTTTTTCATGGATGTTTTTAGGAAAGTTTAGGGTCCACTTTTAAGTGAAGTACAAAATGTGACTCTTATTTAGAAGGACAGTTTAAATAAACCAAAACACTTTGCTGTGCTTTCAGGTCCCAGACTAGCTGGAGTTTATCAGCCATCCAATGGACTTCTCCACTATGCGCTCCAAGCTTGAAAGTCATTCTTAGCGCCAAGTGGCCGACCTGGAGGCAGACTTCAATCTGATGGTGTCAAACTGCCTCCTCTACAACGCCATAGACACAGTCTTCTACAAAGCAGCGCCTTGTCTTCGCGACTTAGGGGGCGCCGTACTGTGGCACGCCCAGAGACAGGCCACAAACACCGGCCTGGATCTGGACACTGGAATGCACCTCCCTGAGTCCCACCAGAAAAAAGACTTTTATAGCTGCACCTGGGAGGACGAAAGGTTCCTGTCCTGTTATGATTCTGCAGAACCATTGTGTCCAACAGAACACTGTACGAATGGAGGGCACACACATAATTCATCCGAGTCCAATAAATCTTGTTGATGTTCCCAGTTGACAGTGTCCTGGATCCAGATAACCGACTCCACATGACGGTGGAGGAGCAGCTGAAGGAGCTTCTGGAGAAACTAGACTTTGTGGCTTCCATGCGCTCCAGCGGCGCCCAGGCTAAACGCATCCACCCGCTGCGGCGCGAGATCAACCAGCTGCGGCACAGACAGGAGCAACCCATGGGCCACGGCGTCCACAACGGGCATTTTAAAGAGGAAGGCGACGAGGATGACGATAATGACGATGAGGATAATGAGGCCAAAGCAGACGGCAGCGTTGGATCCTCAGACAAAGGTGAGCGGTAAGTTGCACTAAATCACCAGCAGTATGAAATCTGAACATGAGCCAACAGAACATTGTCCTCAGGTTTTTGAGCCTGCAGCACGATCTATTCGATCGGCAGCTTCCCTAAGAAGAACCGATACAGAACGTGCTGCACCCTCTGTGTTCGCCATTTCTAGACTGCTTTTTGGAGGGAAAGTCCACAGGAACTGAGCGCTGCAGTTGCATCTAACCAACCAATAGGCTGCCATTGTAGTCTGAAGACACCGCCCCTCATTATCATATTAAAGCAGAAGCAAAGAGGGGAAAATAGAATGTGATAAATTAAAAAATAAGGAAATACTTAATGAATAAGGGAAATTGGAAAATGGGAAAATTATTTTTTTTTTTTCAAACAAATGGTAAATGAAAAATAGATAAAAGAAAAATTGGTAAATAAAAAAGGGATATATGAGAAATTGATTAATGAAACCGGGAAATAGGAAATCGGGTTAATGGAAAAAGGAAATTGAAAAATGGTTAAATTAAAAGATAGATTAATGAAAAATGGGTAAATAAATAAAGGGATAAATGAAAAATGGACAAATGAAAAATAGATAAAACAGAAATTGAGAAATAGATAATCTGAAAAATAAATAAATTAAAAAATTGGCTTAAAGGAATAGTACACCCAAAACATGATTAGCCTTCATTTTCTACTCACCCCCATGCTGAACAACACTCTGGAGTACTTTTTTGATATCTCAAATGCATCTGGAGATCTGGGAGGCTTCTTGCTGTCTGCTGACATTCAAATAATGGAGGTCTATGGTGCCCGAGACAGAAAGGTCCATAAAAGTCCACAAAAAACGTGTCAATATTCCTCCATACTGCTCGTCCAATGTATTCCAAGTGTCCTGAGTGGGTAGCATCCAGAATTTACTCGAAACGAAGTCATTTAGAATGTTTTTGTGGATTTTACTAACCTGCCAAAGATGTGCTTCATACCGAGTAACAACAGGTTGCTGGATCGGCTGGAAGGTGAATGTCACTATTTTACTATGTTAATTCAAAAAATGTTACTTGAAAAATGATTATTTTGAAGTTTTTCCATGAAGTTGTGATGGCTAGCTTAGCATCTAGCATCTTTGAAATCTCAGAGATTAAATGTGTTTTTAGTCGACTGAATTTGTCAGGAATGTTAACAGCCATTTAATTATTTGAAAAAAACTATTTTTGTTTCAGAGAAACACCTTTGTTGAATTGTATGTGAAATGTTTGAAAACTAGATTAAGCTAGGTCTGTTATTTTAAAAAAAAATGCCCTGAAAATATGTTAGCTCTATATGGAAATGTTGGTAAAAATACATTAAATAAATAGAAAGAGAAATTTGAAGGACATTTAACATAATATATTATAAAGCCAAACTGCTCCTATTTAATAAAAGTAGTATTTTGGAAGTTGACTGAATATTAGCTGAAAAAAGAGAAAAGATGAAGATTTTAAAGTTATTTAGTTTAGTAAATGTGTTTAGGAAATGGTGCGTTTTTAACCAGTGTTTTTTATACAAAAAAGTTTTTAAGGGGTATTATGTATTAAGTTGATTTTTATTGATCGGAAATGGGAGGAATGATAACAGAGATGCAACGATGTAAAACAGAAACAAAGTTTGGTTTGAGAGAATAATCTATGATGAATTTAATGTGGAAATGGTTGAAACAAATGGAAAATAAATTATTTTAGGATAAAATGGATTCATTGAATATATTTGAATTTGAAAAGGAAGGCATTTTTTAAAACATGCTGTAGTAAACATATTGGTCTCCATGGATACCTTAGTTGAATGCATTAAGCAACTTTAGGACTTTTTCAGGTGGCATTTATTTTTTACTTTAATGGAAGGTCAAAGGTGTTAAAAAAATGTTTGAGAAATTTTAAAAGTTTCTGGTCTCAGAGGATCATTTTTGGCGAGTTTCGTATCCAATCCTTGAAAAACAAGGTGATTTTGAAATCATGTTTTTAAAGGCAACTACAAAGCAACTAACTAACACTATTAATTTTAATAAAACCCTATACATGATCATTTATTTGTTTTAAGCTTTTGTTTTCATCAAACAAAAATCAGGTCCTTTACATTTTTTGGCTGTAACATGTTTAGAAATTGACTGAGTTTATAATAAGGATAAAGAAATAAAGAATAAATGTTTAATTAAGAGTTTAGGAAAAAAGGATGATATGTTTATTTTACAGTGAGAAGGTAGAATTAAAACATGAGTTTAGAACAATATATTATTTAAATGTTTTCCTGCAGCCCTTGTTTGGATCAGTTGAAAGTAAATAATTTAATCCCATCTGTCATCAGTAATAATAGTTTGTTCGTAGAGGACTCTATCATTTTCTAAACATTGAACACTGGATGGTTTCTTCTGAACCATGAAATGTTCTGTATAGGATCCCCTTTCTTTTAGAAAAAAGAAATCTTCTAAATAGTTTGGCATTAAGTTTGCTAATGTCCATTTCTGCTCTGAGCTTTCTTGTGTGTTAATTAAGGTCTTTATTTCAACTCTAGGATGCACTGAGGAAGGGTCTGATAAGCTGAGAATCTGATTCTGAGAAATTATAGATCTGAACTTTAAAGCTTGATGTTATTAAGCCTTTATTTCTCTTAATTAGGGTTAGGGTTAGTTTCAGGGTTAATTTTCTTTTTAGAGTAAATGAACTTCAAAGATGTATGATTATATTACCAAATCAGCCAATAAAACTTTTTTCTGGTAAAGAGATATATCTAATAGTTCAAAACTATTTCTAATTTGGTAGTCTGTGTTTAATGAAAAACGTTTTTTACTGACAGCTTCAAATGTTCTTTAATCTGAACTAATCTAAATGTCTGTAGCTCCCAAAGGAAGATATGTGCCCCCTAGTGGGAGCACAGTTTAATAGCAGGGGACGTGGTAGAAATAAACTAAATAAATGGACCATTTAGAGCTAATCTTGTTTGTTTTGATAACTTTCTGACAGTAAAATTCAATGAAATAAACATTTACATTAAAATAAACGTACAATTTAATTGTAGTCTTGTGATTTAAAGGATAATGGGAGTTTTTTTTGTTATAAACTCAGCCACAAGCAAGATAGCTGGCGAGGACCAGCAAAATGTCCCCATTTACAACAATCAGTCCTCAGGCTGATGCCGAGACAGGGCAACACAATCATATACACACATATATACATATATATTAATATTTTTTATTTTAACACTAACCAAACCGTTAACATTGTTTATATGTCTTATTGATTAGATCTACTTAAACCTGAAAAACTCACACAGGCACATCCAGAAACCTAAAATAAAGCATTTAGTCTTTTTTCATTTAATTTTCCTTAATTAATTTTCCTGGTCTAATGATTTTTTTTTCCTCACAGTTCCAGACATCGTGCTTCCAGCTGATCCTGAACCGGAGCCCTGGTTCTTGATAGAGGATCCGGGTAATGTAAATGTTTTTTATATTGTCATCACCGAACCGTACCCCCTTCACAATGAGATAGAAGTCGAAGAAATAGTGGTTGAGTATGAGGAGGTAGAAGTCGAAGGAGTAGTGGTGGACCAGTATGAGCAGGCTGAGGTGCAGTCTTTTGAGGGGGAAGATGTTGATTTTAATGATGTCAGGTCTTTTTCTGATGAGTCTCTTGAGGTGTCTAGTGACTCCTATGGGTATGATACCACGAGCTCTGAGGAAGAAGATGATGAAGACGATGACCACCTTCCCCCACATCTTCGGTTCACCCAGAGGATTCCCCCCGACTTCAGACTCCCATGGAACCACGAGGAGGCGAGGAGAGAATGGATATTTCAGCTCTGAAATAATCTGTTCTCCTCCATACAGTAACATGGGAGAAAATTCATTCACCTGCAAGTCTTTAACTGTGTTTATTCCTCTCTTCATCAACAACCCTGTGGATTTGATCACATGAGATCGTTATTTGCCAAAATTAAAGGACGGGAACAATATATTTTAGCTGACTGAAATAATCTGTCCCCCTTTTATTGTCTTTATGAAATATATTTTCTGTTTAAATGTTAATCTAACAATTAACACATATTCAAAATAAAAGTTAAAAACAAAACCACTGAACTGTGTTTTCCAAATTTAAAGATGTTTCGCTTTTCATCCAGAAAGATTTCTCCATTCAAAAAACCTGAAGCAATGCTACTGCAGACATTATGAATTAAGAATTAAAATACATTTCATAAAGATCATCAAACCAACAGTCATATTTTTTTTTTACTATTTTGGATTTTAAAATATAAAATAAATGTTTCAAACATAAAATATGAAATATAATAGTTTAAAAATTCACAGCATTTGTTAATTTTTTCCCATGTTATGGGATATATATCATATAGATTATATCAGGTGGCTAAAATATTTGATTTCCCTCTGATAACTTTGGCAAATAATGATCAAATGTCACCAAATCCACAGTTTGTTGCTGATGAAGAGAGGAATAAACACAGCTAAAAACTTGCAGGTAAATTAATTCAATCCCATGTTATGGAGGAGAATGGATTATTTCAGGCAGCTGTAATATCCATTCTCTCCTCTCCTCCTCACATATCTTTGAGAAATAAAGAGCAACTGTTTCCAAATTATGTAAAAAAAATATGTGTGATAGTATGTAGTATACTAAAATATTTCTTTAATCCTGTAATCTGTCATATTTTACATTAGAACGGGATTTACCAGAAAGTCTGCACTCTCATCTTCACCCTCAGGGCTTAGCCCCTGATCTCCTAGAATCCTAGATCCTCCCCTGAAGTTTACCAAGAAGACTAAATCAAGAACACCAACCAAAATATTTCAAACAACTGGACTCATTATCGCCATATATTTGATGTTATCCATCTACCCGTGCCCAGGCCCGCAACACTTCGAGACGCCAGGAGAGGCTAACTCAAGCACAGAGGAAAAACGCATCATTCATACCTTACACGTGCGTTCAGGTAACGTTATGTCTCTGTTTTCCTCTGCAAAACATCTTCTTCTTCTTCTTCTATTGAGTTTTCTGGCAGTTTGCATCCTGTGTGCATTACCGCCATTAACTGGACGGTCCCAGACATCCATGTATTGTTTACTCTCAACACACATTTACCACATTTGTTCCTCAGTAACTTGACATACAGCAGTTAAGGCAACATGAAAGGGACATTTCATGCATGTCAATATGCTGTAGATAGAGCTGCTGTATCAACAAATCAACAAAAAGGCAGGTACTGTATGTTACATCAAAATCCCCACAAATCTGAAAAGAAGCAACTTAAAAATACATTTTGCTTCCAGTCTGAAAAAGTACAAAACATTTTGTGAGTAGGTTCATACGGGTCATTTCTGGACAGTTTTTACCTGTTTCATCCCGTGTCTCCTCTCCCCATGACCCCTGGCTCCCTCACTTTGCCCCATTCGGTTTTCAAAACTAATCAGTCTCAGTCGCTCTCGCGTCATCTCGTGCTGGATTCACTGCAGTACGACATTGGAAATTAGCGGTCGGTAATTTATAAGCCTCGCCACCACTACCACCAACTGGGGTGGCAGCAGGGGTGGCAAGGCTGTCTTTTAGGGTGGAATTTGCCACCCTATGCCACCCCAATAGATCCGCCTATGGCTGGAGGATGGATGGCTAAACAGCGCTATGACTGTTTATAAATTAAGTAGAAGAAACTGGATTTTTGCTCTGCTCCTCTTTTAATTATTAAAAAATACCTCAAGCTTTGTGAATGGTCTTTATAATAAAATAATAAACAATTTTTACGATTAAGTAGGATTTCTCTAGATGTGCAGATTGCCACTTCTCTTCAAATTGCTAGCGTGGTATACGGCTCTGATTTAAATCCGGGAGTCAGCTTTCTATAAATAATCATACCTCTTTTTAAGGAGAACTACATAGTCTGATACAATAAACAATGATGATGTAACACTGTCAACAATAGCATCAATTTAAAAAGAAAATGAATAAATTGTAGTCGTCAGCAGGGTTTTTCTGCCACACTTAAGAAATGAATTCAGGGACATACATTTTTATATATGTTCCAGCATCGTCTTATGATGAACAGCTAAAATTAAACCTTTTTTGGGGAAGAAGAATCCAGTTAAGTTCAATTCAAAGGTTGTTTAAAAACGGCCTGGCCAGGGTTATGAAAAGATGCACTTATTTTTTTCACATTAAATGCCATATGTCAACTTAAGGTTCAAAGTATAAAGGGATGAATGTGTAGGTCTCTGCACATTTTGAGTCTAAGAGAGCATTTAAGGATTCATCTAATGCTACGTTTTTTAATAACCCATTCTACATAACATTCAGCAGTTCAATGGCAGAGGGGAAGAAACTGTTCTGGAATCTGCTGGACCAGCATGAGATGCTACAAAGTCTCTTTCCAGAGGGAAACAGGCAGAGCAGACCATGGTGGGGGTGTGAGGGGTCATTGATGATGTTACGGGCTCGGGACAGGAAGCGCTGGGATGAAATGACTTTAATGGAGGGAAGAGGAGTGTCGTGGGAAAAAAGTATTCAACTATTCATCCTAGTTAAATAAAGGGAGATCGATGGATTTCACTCAATCGGCACATTTATTAAAAATCTTTGCAAAGAGAGAACAGTCATCATGAAGCCTTCATGACATAGCATTCTGCTCTGTTCTGATCTGGGCAGGGTTCGTCCCCCCCTACTTACAACAATGGAAAGCAGTCAGAGTCATAAACCTTGAGAAAGAATCTGGATTGTTATGTGAAGAAGCTATGTCTACTCTACAAACAACATTCTGCAGGGAATGATGTGGCCTTGAGAGAGAAACAGACTGAGTGAAAACTTTTATAGTGAGTAAATATGAATATTAATATATAATAGAAGAAAGATATAAATTTTCCCACAACAAGGAGCCCCGATGATCTACTCTGCTGTTCTCACCACTATTCTCAACTTCTTCCATTCTGAGGCGCTGCAGCCTCCTCACCACACAGAGAGACAGCAAGTCAGAACGCTCCATACCTTGATGAATCAGCAACAGACCGCCTCTACAGCTGAGCTGTTGATGACCAGTGGAGCGTGTTTAGGCCGGTTCTTCCTGAGGTCCAAGATGATCTCCTTCGTCTTCTCCACGTTCAGGATCATGCTGTTATCTTTGCACCAGTCCACCAGCTGCTCCACCTCCTCTCTGTAGTTCTGATCGCTTTCATCCCTGATGAGTCCCACCACCGAGGTGTCGTCTGCAAACTTCACGATGTGATTGGTGGTGAACCTGAGGACGTAGTCATGTGCCATCAGGGTGAACAGCAGGGGGCTCAGGATGCAGCCCTGAGGGGAGCCTGTGTTTAAGATGATGACATCAGAGGTGTTCTGTCCGACCCAGACTGAATGAGATCTAGGCTATAACTACTTTAAGCATCAACATGTATGTTAAGTCCCTAACAGCAACCCCCCACTTGTTGTTAGTCCCTGTCTCGTCTAATTGTTTGACTTTATTTATAAAGCTCCTTATAGAAAATACATCGTCATTTCAAGGCACTTTATATCATACTTTCCCTATATTTACAATATGAAATGACATTATTTATGTATCACAAACATTTCAAAATGACTATCCTATCCCTTTTCCCATAGGACCTATATCTGCTTTCATAAATAATGTTGTAATTTGATGAATACCTTGATGAATTATATGATTTATGTAATATACAAAAAAAAAAACTCCCATACTCCCATATATATATATATATATATATATATATATATATATATATATATATAGATAGATAGATAGATAGCCGGCAGAACAAACCAGCGCATTCAGCTCGGCAAAGAACTCATGCTCTTCCTCAACACTGAAGTCCTCAGACATTTTTCTTTCGTTGTTTCTTTCTTTGCACAGGTAAACAGCACATTTCTTCTTCTACGCTTGCATTATCGGCAGAGCAGACGCTGAATGCGCACTTTCTTCCGGTTTGGTCTGCCGGCTTCCGTAGAATCGTGAGCGCGCATGGGGGCGCTATTAGGAAATCCTATACACTACTGTTTATGCTCTAAAAACATTCTAAATGACTTCGTTTCAAGTAAATTCTGGATGCTACCCACTCAGGACACTTGGAATACATTGGACGAGCAGTATGGAGGAATATTGACACGTTTTTGTGGACTTTTGTGGACCTTTCTGTCTCGGGCGCCATAGACCTCCATTATTTGAATGTCAGCAGACAGCAAGAAGCCTCCCAGATCTCCAGATGCATTTGAGGTATCAAAAAAGTACTCCAGAGTTTTGTTCAGCATGGGGGTGAGTAGAAAATGAAGGCTAATCATGTTTTGGGTGTACTATTCCTTTAAGCAGCATTCATCATGATTAATTGTTAGCTACTGTATGTCTCTTTGGAGTCTGTGACAATACAGTAAGTCAGTAGGTAAAATGCTCTTACCACTGTCTTTCTTTCGTTTTTCCTCTTTTTCTTTTCTCTGTCTCTTTTTTTTCTGCCCCACTGGGATAACTCCTCTTCATGACTCTCTCTTGGGAAGGTTGGGAAGCTTTACCATAAAAGTTCACCTTTTGCAGAGTTGCGCCAGCAGCGTCAGATGCAGGCTGAAGGCATGGGATGGGGGCCCAACAAGGGGGTTTTTGACTACGGTGTCATTTCATTGTAAAGTAAATCCCCAGTCTTGTCGTTGCTGTGAAGTACAATTTGTCAGCCATTGGGGGCCCCCTAGAGGCCGGGGCTCCAAGCAACTGCCTGGCTTGCCTGTCCACAAGCCCCGCCCCTGGTGACGTCAGATGAGGGGCGTGGTCTGTGACGTCAATTCCATTCCAAGCAGACTATAGCAT